CCTCGAGTGCTTGCTGCTTCGCAAAAGCTTTGGATTCCACTGTGTTAGGATCAACCCAGCTAGCCTTACAAGCATTGGTGTGAGTGCTAGGTATAATCGAACAATGACCTACTTAGAAGAATTCATTGTCGAGGATGCCCCTTGCCTTAAAAGGATTCTGTATCTTCGAGCACCAGGGACGGGCACGCAACTGCGAGTATCAGTTATTTCAGCACCTAATCTGGAGACCTTGGGTAGCCTAAATTTTCCTGATTACTCTTCCAGGCTCGTGTTGGGCTCTATAATTATTGAGGTATCTCTTGCTTTTCCACCTCTTGCCTACAGGCTCTGAGTTGCTTTTCTGTGTGCAGAAAAAACTTGGAAATATCGACTTTTATAGATGTGCTAACGCAGGTTTCATGCAGCCATGCGACATAAAGGGATTCCGGGTCACTAACTCGACAACGCCGGCATGTACTGTCAAGGTTTTAGGAGTTTCTATTTTTTCTCTTATCCTGGATGCGATTATTGACTTAATGAGATGCTTCCCAAGCTTGGAGAAGTTTTATATCAGGGTAAACATACTAAACTAGTAATTCATTGTGTTCATATATTCTTTGGATCTGACTTAATATTATGTCAATTCTTCTTGAATTAGTTGTGTTTGTATACTTTTTTTTCCTTTTCAGTCATACAAGGTGGGAGACAAGAATTTATGGCGCCGTAAACATCATAATCTTATTAAATGCCTTTGTTTTAAATGTTCTTTTATTTGATGTTCTTTACTTGTGCTTGGCAGCACAACAGACTACTTATAATTACAACTGAAAGACCATGTAGCAGCAAAAGAGGAGCCTCTGATTTCTATGCTGATAACTTGAGCTAACAGATCCCATTTTCTTCTACTTTTCGGGTGATAACACATGAGAATGCAGTTTATATAAGAATGAAGGCATCTGTGTGGGGTTCTCTACTTATTGGAGGAGTCTTTTTTTTTGTCAACAAACATGCACATATTTCAACAGCGTCTAGCTGTTAGAATTGTTACATGGTCTTTCAGTACATTATGCAGTGCTTCCAGTATTGGTGGGCACTGTATGACATGATCTCTGTTGGAACATGACAATGATAGACTTGTAGGGTGGGGTTGAGAGTGTACAAAAGCCTGTTTTGCTAATGTATGAGCAATGTGATTTTGGGTCCTCCTAATCTTGTAGATTCTTGTGTTCCGTTGCCTTGTTGAGTTGATAAGTATTTGGGTGAGGTGCTTGATTCTACAATCAGGCGGTGTGGACTGATCACCTGAATTGAAGAAGTTGACAAGTTCCTGGTTGTCTGATAGGAAGGTGATGTTGTGTATCTGCAGTCTTTCGGTGACAGTAGCAGCAAGCACCAGGGCAGCTGCCTCTGCCATGACCACCGAGACAGAGTTTGTAATTGCAGCCTTGATGTAGATGTTTTGAGGTGGATGCATTCCTGTATTGATAATATAGATTCCCAGTCCAGCTTTCTACGGATAATACCGAGTCCTGGTCTGGCACCGTTGATGCATCGGTGTAGCATCTGGAACCTGGGAGCAGTGCTGGGAGTTGTACAATGTGTGTATTTGAGGCTGTTCCATTGTTCTAGTTCACCCAATCGTGGATTGCAGCCTGGGTATTCTGTCCTGCAATTGTATGATTCATACCTGAGAACTGAATGTGAGCGGCTTGTTGATTCCGCATCAGTGTCGGAGCTGCAGCACTTTCGGTGTTCATGACAGCTTCACTGCCTTCCTCCGTTTGGTTGCTGCGCCTGGTAGTGGATTGCCTCCTGAGTGTTTCCTCCTGCATGTGTAGGATTCATACCTGGTCTGATTTCGTGCACCGGTGTCGGTGGTGTTTGTGGAAGGGCTTGGTTCCTGTACGCCTGGTTCTGTGTTTCAGCAGCTGTCACCTTCATTTCCTTCCGCTGGTAGTGTAGTATAGTGCTGGTCGTCACCTGTATAGTTGATTAAGTTTGCCACCGAGATGTTTGCTGCCACCGAGATGGTGTGAGGAGTCCAAATTTTTGTTTCCAAATCTTTTGTCGTTTCTAACTTTCCATATGTACCTGAAAGTTGTTAGTATTTTTTTGCAATAAATCTTCTGGGCATTACAGATCATGTGACAATGTCACGTGAGTCTAATCATACTATGAGCCATTACTAAAACCTAATACTGTTATAGAGGTTGGCTTAGAGCTAGTATATAACTATTATTGTTGTGGATGTCCTTAGACATCCATAAATCTGAGACAGTATTGGGTAAAGGAGATTGGGAAACCGGAATGAGGTGGTGGTCATGAATAGATTGCCAAATAAATTGCACCAAGGCGTGGACCAAATGGAACTGTTTCTGCATGAATCTGGTATACCGTTTTCTGAATGAGCTCCTTTTTGACCTGCATGATTGAAGACCAGAACATATAACGAGGGCCAGTAGTAGTAGCCGTCCAAAAAGTGGAGTTGGGGAAATATTTTGCTTTCAGAATGCTTGTCAGGAAGCTATTTTTGTTAGTAACTATGTTCCAAGTTGCTGAGTGATGAGGCTTTTGTTGACAGTGTAGAGATCTCTGATTCCCAGTCCTCCATTTTCTTTACATTGGCAGATGTCCTCCCAAGAACGAAAAGCAATAGGATTAGTGGTGTTGTCTTCCTGCACTCGAGCCCACCAGAATCGATGAATAATAGAGTTGATTTTTTCCACAAAAGACTTTGAGAAAAAGGACAGTTGACATATAATAAACAGGAATGGAAGCAAGGACAAATTTAATGTAAGTGAGATGGCCTGCAAGGTTGAGTTTGTTAGGGCAGTCTCAGTGGGATTTCATGTGAGTTTCATTTGCATTAAATAGGTTGCCACATAGGCACTTTTGATGACATGGCAGTGTATTTAAGAAGAGAGAGATGAAATGGGTTTCATTTAGATGAAACTCTCTTGGCACGATTACTAACTCTTTAAGAGTTTTTGAATTAAATGTCTATGAAACCATGGAATGAAACTCACCATTGAGAGTGGATGTTTCATCCAAGTTTTATTTTATTTCAAATGACATGGCAGTCTTAGAAACAACATAATAAAACTCCCCATTGAGACTGGCCTTAGCTGTGATAGGCTTTGGTCGTGTCTATGTAGCTGAAGATCAGGGTGGCCTAGGTGCATAATGTTGGGCTGCAGACCGGGTACAGGAAAAATAGATTTGAGCTGGGCTTTTGTGTGATCATCCACAATCTTGGTGAACAGGATAGCTGACTTTTGGAAATTTGGAACTTGGCTAGAGAGATTGGAGAACTCTTCGAATACGTGGTGGATGGTCATGGCTTCATCAACAAAGGCTTTGCCATAGAGAATCAAGTCGTCTGCAAATAGAAGGGAGTGGACTGGCGGCAGCCTACCCCTGAGAAACCCTAAAGAGGTTGGAATGTTGCAGTTCAGATTGAAGACGATGGGTAAGTTCATTGATGGCAACAACAAAAAGCAGGGAGATAAAGGGTAACCCTGATTCCTCGCTGAGATCGAAAGGATTAAGTGGGCTCACCATTAACGAGAACAGAGAAAGTGGACGTTGAAATGCATCCATGCATGTATAAGGCGACTGAAATTCCCATGGTACCCTTGACAATGAAGGGCAGCCACAACAAAATCCCATTCCAGATGGTCAAAAGCCCTAGCCAGACCCAACTTCGAAAGGAAAGCCATCCGATTCCAAGATTTTAAATTGAAGGAGTGAATGATTTCTTGTGTGACAATGATATTGGCCGAGATGTCATTTTTAATGAACGCTGCTGAGCTAGATTGATTGAGTGAGGAAGGTGGTGCTTGAGTCTGCCGGCCAAAGATTTGGAAATGTTTTTTGTAAATTACACCTGCAAAAACACACCTGAAAAACACTTGAAAACCATATAAAACATACACAACATTTAGATAAAACGCTTGCAACTTATGTATGAAACATATGCAACATTCAAATAAACATACTTGCAATATGCGTCTAGAAAAAACAGCTACAACATTGGGAACAAAAGCTTGCAACATACGTGTACAAACATTGCAACATCCCGATCTATTTTTGCAACATCCACGTGAAACACTTGCAACATCCGGATGAAATATTTGAAACACTTGAAACATACTCTTGGTCTCTCGCAACATGCGTTTTCAACGCACAATGTCACCTTGCTGCTTGGACGAATCACGGTGCTCGACACCGGCGTAGAGGTCGGCGGCGGCGCATGGAGCTCGCAGCGGTGCACCCTTGGGCGAGGACCTGCTCGGCGGCCTGGGTGAGCACCTGCGCGAGGCGCACGAGCATCGTGGGTGAGGTTTGCGTGAGCACCCCTGGGCAAGCACCTGCGCGATGGCCTGGGCCAGCACACCTTGGAAAGCACTTGCTCGATGGCTAAGCGAGCAGCGGTGGCGCCCGTGGCGGGCGGATGCCGTGGTGCAGGCGAGCGGTGCAGTGGAGCGTGAAGTGGGGGAGGTGGGCGGCACGGTGGAGTCGGGTGTGGAGGTCCGATGGAGCGATGGATAAGACTGCTATGATGGAGGTCGAACACAGTAGAGAGATTTTTGTTTGAAGGAGTGTGGACGGGAGCGAGCGAACAGATAAGGTAGGCAATGGGAAGCCATGTCCGTCCGTCCGTCCTGAGAGCATTACCAAAAAAAAAGTGCAGATGACATACGGATGCACGCAAATGTGAATCTGAGGTTTTGAAAGAAATTTTGTACAATAAGAAACGTAAAAAAGAAAATTATCATGCAATAGAAGCAGGTTTGCGTGTTCAGATGAACAGTCGCTCCGATCCATTTACATGTTGATTCTCTCTTTTATGTTTGCATTCGAAATTGGCTGTCAAGTCTAACGTGTATGCTCTGGGCCCATGGGCCGGGAACGGGAGGCCTCTGGATGCTGCACGCACCCAAAACCCTACGGAGCTTCAGCCAGCCGTCGTGTTTCCCCTTTACCCGCCCCGCCCCCAATCAACCCAACGGCCGGCGGCCATGGAGGCTCTGGCGGGGGCGCCTCGCCGTGCCAAGAGAAGGAAGCCGGAGGCGCCCAAGAGCCCGGAACAGGAGGGTGGAGCAAACATCTCGTCGCTGGTACCAGCGACGAGTGCGCCTGATTCCTGTCCTCCTGGAGCCGGAGGAGACGAATCCCACATCCAAGATCCACCGCCTGGAGCCGGTGGAGAAGAAGAAGATGGGGTCGACCGAATCAGCCTCCTCCCGGACGCCATTCTGGGTGAGGTCATCTCTCTCCTCCCCACCAAGGATGCCGCCCGCACCCAAATCCTCGCCAACCGGTGGCGCCATCTCTGGCGCTCCGCCCCTCTCAACCTCGACGGCCGTGACCTTCGCACCATCGATGTCGTCTCCCGCATCCTCTCCGCCCACCGGGGCCCCGGCCGCCGCTTTCGCTTCCCCGCACAACACCTGCAGTACTACCCCGCCATTGTGGATGCTTGGCTCAGATCCCCCGCCCTCGACAACCTCCAGGAGATTGATTGCTGCATCGACATATATGCACCGGATGTGTTGCAAGCACCACCTCAGCCGGCGTCTACCTTCCGGTTCTCGTCGTGCCTTTGCGTGGCCACTCTCAGCCAGTGCCACCTCTCTGACGACGTCGCCCAGGCGCTTCAGTTCCCCAAGCTCAAGAAGCTCGCTCTTCAATGGGTCAGCATTTCGGAGGATTCCCTGCATAGCATCATTGCTGCTTCTCCCGTCCTCGAGTGCTTGCTGCTTAGCACCATCTTTGGCTTCCGCTGTGTCAGGATCAACTCAGCTAGCCTTACAAGCATTGGGGTGGGTGCTAATGCTGGGTATGAACCAACAGTGACATTCTTAGAAGAATTCATCATCGAGGATGCCCCTTGCCTTAAAAGGATTCTGTATCATCGACCACCACAATTGCCCATGCGACTGCAAGTGTCAGTTATTTCAGCACCCAATCTAGAGACCTTGGGTTGCCTAAAGTATTCTGATTACTCTTCCAGACTCACGTTGGGCTCTACGATTATTGAGGTACCTCTTGGTTTCCTACCTATTGCCTACAGGTTCTGAGCTGCTTTTTTGTGTGCAGAAATTTTTTCTGAAAACATCGAATTTTATAAATGTGCTGACGCATTTTCACGCAGCCATGCTACATAAAGGAATTCCGGGTCATTAACTTGACAACGCCGGCATGTACTGTCAAGATTTTAGCAGTCAATATTTTTATCTTCGCCTGGATGTGATTATTGACTTAATGAGATGCTTCCCATGCTTGGAGAAGTTGTATATCCAGGTAAACATATATTCTTTGGATCTGGTTTAATTTGATATTGTGTCAATTCTTCTTGAAATAGTTGCGGTTGTATGCTGTTTTTTTTAAATTTCAGTCATACAAGGAGGGAGACAAGAATTTGTGGCGCCGTAAACATCATAATCTTATTAAATGCCTTGACATCCGTCTCAAGACAGTCGTGTTGAATAATTATCGAGGCATAAAGTCACAAGTTAACTTTACCACGTTCTTTGTACTGAACGCAAAGATGCTGGAGTCAATGACATTTGAGTGTCAAAGGGACAGTGTGACTGATAGATTTCTTGCAGAGCAGCACCAGCTGCTCCAGCTGGAGAAAAGGGCTTCAAGATGCGCTCGGTTTTATTTTACTACTGAAAGCTGTCGCCATGAGTTTTTGCATATCAATCATGCCCATGATTTGTCTATAAGCGATCCCTTTGAATGTGTTGAAGCAGGGGTTGGTGCATGCCTATCCTTTGAGTAGTTACTGCCTGACTCTGTACTCCTGTTTGCTGTTAAATTCGATGAGGTCTATTTTTTTCCCAGTGTTGAAATAGGGGGTTGCAAAATGAACTATGTGTATTGTAAGATTTGTGTAATTGTAGCACTCTGCCAGAGCCGCAGTTTAACTTACTAATCAATAAACCACTAGATCTTCATGCAAAAGTTATTGGCAATGTTTGAGGTTGCTGGTTGTAGGTAATGTTGGTATACTCTTGGTTAATAAAGTAGAGCTAGTGTCAAAATATCACTTAGTTGAAAATGTTTTTTATTTGACCTTTAATAATTGTGGTCAGTAGTGCAATAGGCTACTTAATTACTAAATTGGTCTTAAATGTATGGCTCCTCTTTCTCACCAGATTGCTCGCTGCTTGAACAGCTCCCACTTCCAGGTAACAATTGTTCCCTCTAAGCAACTTTATTTGTTATATGTTTCTCTTTTGGTTGAGTTGTTGACTTGTTGGCCTACTCTTCCGTTGTCAACATTGGATTAGTTGTACCTGTGAGATAATTATCATATTTTGCTTGGCTAAATGTTATTCTATGCTGGTTTGTTATAATAGTATTACCTCCTTTCACCACTAACTTAAAAATCATTTCACTTGTTTATTCTATTGATTTCCAGTTTACTTTGTGAGAAGTCTTTGTCAAATGTGTTTGCTTGAATGCGCATATCATCAATTTAATGTCTCTCTTTGTTTAGTATTTATTTTCTAGAGCCTTAATTGCAAAAGTTGAATGGAAGAAACATAATTTCTGTTTCCTAATTTGTATTTTGATTTACTGTCATTGTCATCTTGAATTGCTGATGATAGAAAAGGCAGGCCTCATTTAGCTTCTGACCATCACTATTTCATGTTTTTTTTTCTGTGCAACCTAGTTCACCATAATTATTTTAGTACTTAATAAAATAGCATATACTCATGCCATTAAATGTATTCTTTTTGTGAACTCAAATTAATTTGTCAAATGCTAAAATTTTACTATCACACTGTTCATTATCAGTTAATTGTGAAAACAACACAACAGAGTACTTGATTTTTTTGATTTTAACAGTCATTTAACTTTGTGAAAATTTGGGCTTCAGTTATAGTTGGTTGCTAATAGCTCATTGTGTGCACATATTTCCATTCTGTCTAGTCTATAGAGATTTGCTCTTTGAATGGCCTTTTACTTTGATTGTGCAAAATCAAACCATTGACCATCTAAAGAAAGGAAACGACTCAAGGAAGAGCTACAATACTTTTAACAGGAAGAGGTTTCTTCTGAAACATTTCTACCCACATTGGAGTTAATACTGTAAGCAGAAAAAAAGTTGATAGGTTCCCATATTTTTTAACTAGTAATTAAACTGATTGATCTCCATATGGTTAGGACTCAAAAATTCCTAAACGTTTCTTTTGTAAAAAGATTGTTTTTCCTTAAAGTTAAGGCCCTGTTTGGATGCAAATTATTTTTGGAGTTTTAGATAAATACCATGGTTTTAGAGTGACATGAAGTGTTTGGATGCAACAAACTTTATGGTTTTGAATACCATGGTATTGCTAAAACTGTAGTCCTTTTGGAGTTTTTAAAACTCCACTCTATACCTCTTTTTTTAAAACCATGGTTTTGCACATCAATAGGTTCTAAAACTGTAGCTTCTTAATGCTACAACATTTGTTGACAACAAGAGAAAGCATGTTGCCAACCATGGGCATGCCATGTAGTATCCATGTAAAGGAATATTTTGGAACTCAAGAATAAATTACTGCAAGTGTTGAGACTAAACACTACTTGCATATTAGCGTAAATGTTTTTCATTTCCTTGGTGTTAACTATATGCTGTATATGAAAACCTTTAAATGCTCTGCATGATCATGGTAAAATAGGCATTGACCTAATGCAAGAGTACAAACAAAATTACATAGGTGACAACTAGTCCTATATATGTGTGGTGCCTATATATGGAATTTTCTAGATTTGTTTTGTCAAGCTGATCAATGCATCATATTGCCCTTATTAATAAAATCATAACTCATTTCGAGTTACCTATTGTCGGTGCGAAAAGTGACCAAAACGTAAATATTTGTAGTTTTGCTGTACGTTGTGATCGGATGTGGCCTAACACTCAATGACATAGGGTTTATACTGGTTCACACAACGTGCCCTACGTCCAGTCTGAGTCGGTTGCTGACTTTATTCCTGAGCCTAGGTGCTCAAAGTTTGCTGTGGGGTTACAAACGAGAGGGAGTAAGATAGGGGGTGTAAGAGGTCCGGTCGGACTCTGAACCGAAGGGCCGAGAGTGACGGGAGCTCCTACGTGCGCTAAGTATTCTGTGCGGCTTTGGAATGTCCAAAGCTAGCAGAGAGTGAGTCGGAATGATCCGTCTGTTGTTCGTTGGGATCGACGATGTGAATCGTTGGTTGTTCGAATCGTCCGTTCCTTGGAGAGAGCGCATCCCCTTTTATAGATAAAGGGATGGCTTTACAAGAGAGAGTGTGAGAGAAAGAGAGTGTGCGTGCTACCTAGCTTTGTTGCCCATGCCATCGGGTACAAGGCGGTTTGTCAGCGCCCACAATATTGTTGATGGCTGGATGCATGTTGTTTCTTCCGTGTTCTTCCGGTATGGCAAATGTCGGCGCCTACCATACTGTAGGTTAAATGTCGACGCCCACAACACTGTTGGTGTTCTAACATGTCTGGAAGGTTATAAAATACCCTTCTGACATGACTCGACAGATCTTATCCTGCGGTGTGTGGTGGTACGGTCCTTGGTATTGCTGGGTTGATTGGGAGCGCCCGCCTTACTTGCTCTGTCGTTTCACGGGTCCTTACTGAAAGCGAAAGCCCCTGGTCGATTGTTCATGATCGCTTGACCTCCCGATCGGAGAAGAGTCATAGCAGAGGTTCGGTGTACTCCTGGTTGGAGAAGCGAGTCGAAGTCGGAGGCCAGTGTCGTTCCTTCTTGGCCAGGCCTTCCGGTCGGAGAGGCGGGCCGGAGTCGGAAGAGACGGAAGCGAGCACCGTTCCTCCTTTGCCAGGCCTTCCGGTTGGAGAGGCGGTGAGAGTCGAGCAGCGAGCCTGAGTCGAGGCGAAGTGGCCAGCCTTTCGGTCGAGAGAGGCGGCCGGAGTCGGAGGCGAGCGTCGTCGTTCTCTCGGCCGAGCCTTCCGGTCGGAGAGGCGGGCTGGAGTCGGAGGCGACGGAAGCGAGTGCCGTTCCTCCTTGGCTAGGCCTTCCGGTCGGAGAGGCGGGCTGGAGTCGAGGCTGAGGCGACGGAAGCAGTGCCGTTCCTCCTTGGCTAGGCCCCCGTGGAGGGAGAGGCGGGCTGGAGTCGGAGGCGACGGAAGCGAGTGCCGTTCCTCCTTGGCTAGGCCTTCCGGTCGGAGAGGCGGGCTGGAGTCGGAGGCGATGGAAGCGAGTGCCGTTCCTCCTTGGCTAGGCCTTCCGGTCGGAGAGGCGGGCTGGAGTCGGAGGCGAGCTGGCCAGGCCTTCCAGTCGGAGAGGCGGGCCGGAGTCGGAGGGTCGGAGAGGCGGTCGAGTGAGGCTAGTGTGGCTGTGCCTTCCTGTGAGGAGGCCGGAGTCGGAGGCGAGCGTTGGTCCTCCTTGGCCAGGCCTTTCGGTCGGAGACTGGATCTCCCCTGGCCTGTCGTTAGGTTTTTGGGCCGGCCTAGGAGGTGCGCGTCATTTGCAACGTCGTCTGTTAGGCCGAGCTTTTGTTGGGAAGCAGGTCCATGAGGGACCCCGGGTTTATGAACCCGACAGGAGCCCCCAGGCGATTCGGGTAGAATCGTATGGGGCATCTTTCGTTTTGACAGTGGGTGCGCGCGAGCGCACCCGCAGTGTAGTCCCCGAGCCCTCGGGCGTTTTGGATAGAATCGTCTGGGGGGTTTTTTCGTGTTGCCAGCGGGGGAATTTTTGTTTTGACGGTGGTGCGCGCGAGCGTACCCGCGGGTGTAGCCCCCGAGCCTGCGTCCGACTGGTGAGTCGGTTGGAGGCTGAGCATCTTGGTACTCTTTTGCTAGGGCCGCAGACAGTCGTTCGGGGTGTTCGCCCGTGTTTGTCCCGCCTGCGACCTGCGCGGTTGGTTGATTACCTGAGTCGGTGTCGGGCGACCTGAGCCCCTAAGCCTCGTGGGCCTCGGTAGGGGTTGGTCGAGTTCCGTGCGTTACCCCGTCTGCGGTTTCCGCAACCGGAGGGGCTGAGCTAACGTTGCTTGCCTCGATGGCTCAAGCGACGCGCTCGGTGAGCTCGCTAACGGGCACGTTCGAGTGGAATCTGGGTCTGTCGTTCGT